GTTCTCGCTCCGGGCCCTGTCCCGAGGCCGCGGCGCTGCCGGGGCGGTTTTCGGAGCTTTCCCCGGGCGGGGGCCGCGCTCCCGGTGCCGCCGTTAACGTCCGGGGGTCCCCGGTGCCCTCCGGTACTTCCGGGTGCTCAAGGCTCCCGCGTTCCCGCCTCTGTGGTGGTGCCGTTTCTAATTGGTCAGCGCGGCTGTCGCTCATCGCTCTCAGCCAATCCTGGCGGGGCAGGGGCGGGACCCCGGAGCTCCCACAGGACTCAAGGCCATTCCCATTTTTTGGGTTTAATTCCCGGATTTTTGACTTTAATTCCCAGCTTTGAGGTTTAATTCCCGCCTTTTGTGTTTAATTCCCTTTTTATTTTGTTTATTTCCCATTTTTTGGGGGGTTTAATTCCCCCTTTTTTTTGTTTAATCCCCAATTTTTGAGTTTAATTCCCAATTTTTGTGGATTTCAGAATCCACAACCCCACCCCCAAAATCCAGGCTATTTTTATTTCCTCCCATTCCCATTTTTCCCCTCAGAATTCCAAACTCTTTCCACACCAAAAAAAAAAAAAACCCAAACCTCGCCTTGATCAGGAATTTTTTTCTCCAACTGCCAAATTCCCAAAAAATTCCTGGGAAAAAAAAAAAAAACCAACCCGAGAAACTCGGGGGAAATCCTGAAAAAACTCCCGAGAAATCCACCTGGAAAGCTGCCGGGAAAGGGTAAAAATCCGGGATCCTCCTTGGCCGGGGGGCGGTGGATTCCATGATTTGGGGGATTTGGGGGATTTGGGGGATTTTGGGGATTTTTGGGAATTTGGGAATGCGGGAGGAGCCCTCAGGAAGGCACCGGGAGGCGGGAATTGCCCAGCAGGAGCTGCAGGAGCCGATCCACGGAAAAGGCCAGGAGGAAATCGGCCGCCAGCACCGCCAGGATCAGCAGCCGGAACTGGGAAAGAGGGAATTCCAGAATGTTCCCCACGGGAATCGGCCCCAAATCCCCCAATTCCCATCCCCAAATCCCCGGGATTTCACCCCAATCCCACCCGGAATGAGGGAATTCCAGAATGTTCTGTGTGGAATTCTGGAATGTTCTGGGTGGGACTCGGCCCCAAATCCCCGGGAATTCTGGAATGTTCCATGGGAATGGGGCGTGGATCCCATCCCAGCTGGAATTCTGGAACGTTCCTGGCGGGAATTCACCTCCAGAATCCTGGGAATGGCTCCAATCCCCCCCCAGAATCCCGGGAATTCCCCCTGGACTGGGCCCAAATCCCCCTCAGAATCCTGGGAATGGCCCAAATCCTCCCCAAAATCCCAGGAATTCCCCCCAGGAATGGCTCCAATCCCCCCAAAAATCCTGGGAATGACCCCCAGAATCCCAGGAATGACCCCAATCCCTCCCAGAATTCCCAGGAATTCCCGGAATTCGCTCACCTCGGTTGGGATGTGCACCAGACCGAAGGCCACCCCCAGCTCGGGGCAGGCTCCGCTGAGCAGCCCCAGCACGGCCCCGGCCGAGAGCAGCAGAGCCCAGAGCAGCGCCCGGTTCTGGGCCAAGCTCTCCATGAACGGCCGGCCCTGCCACCAAAACAAACTGGGTTATACTGGGAGGGACTGGGAGGGCACTGGGAGGGACTGGGAGGGACTGGGAGAGCACTGGGAGGGACTGGGAGAGAGTTTTGGGGCACTGGGAACCGATCCGAGAGGTTTCGGAGCAGTAAAATGGGGTTTAGGGGCACTGGTTTGGACTGGTTTGGACTGGGAGGGAGTTTTGGGGCACTGGGAGGGAGTTTTGAGGCACTGGTTTGAACTGGTTTATACTGGGAGGGCACTGGTTTGGACTGGGGGATTGGAGTGATGAGGAGAAGGGAAAGAGAAACTGGGAAAAAATGGGCAGTGAAAAACGGGAAGAAAAAAACTGGGAAAAACGGGGATGGAAACTGGAAAAATCGGAAGGAAAAACTGGGAAAAATGAGGGAAAAAAGCTGGGAAAGGCTGGGAAAAGCTGGGAAAAGTTGGGAAAGTTGGGAAAAGCTGGGAAAAGTTGGGAATATTCTGGAATTTCCCACCTTGTAGTTGATGGCGAAGGTGGCTGTCTGCATGGCCATGGCCAGCAGGTACACGGTGCTGTTCACCAGAGACGGCTCAAATTCCCGGCTCAGATCCACAAATTCCTCCTCCCTGTCCATGGAAAAATCGGGATCA